GCTGTAGGTTACGACGATCAGGTGTAAAATGAGTTTAAAAACCATAAACGAGTGCAAACGTGTTGCATGCCAAAAAAAAAATGCATAAAACCGATAAATTCTCTCTCACTCTCTGTGTATGTGAGCACTCAAAATAATCCCCATTCGGAAAATTATGTAATATTTATATTTACATGAGTTGACTTGACATTCGTCGAATTTTGTCTGACCATATTTGCCACTCGGCTGTCAGTCATTGTTAACAAAGTATCAATTAAAGTTTACATTGTAGAATGATAGATATCAATAACTAATCGGAATAATGGCGAAAAAAGGAAATAAAAAACGGTTTAAAAGCGCACTTGACATGCGATTTTAATTGAATTTGTTGGAAATATATATCAATTTGAAGGTAACTCAACACAAACTGCCGCTTTTGCTTTGTTTTATCATATTTTTTTTAAATTCATTGATTGAAACCGAATGTGTGCCTTTGTTGTGGTTTTTTTTCTGTGTCATCATGGTTAATTGAAATGTATAGTAATTTTTGTGAACATTTGTATTTTCATGACTATAACATGCGGCTAATGAATGAGTTTGGTTAGAAAATGTTTGTTGCATGAAGTTTTGTTGAATGAAAAAAAAAAAAAATAACTTTCGGTTTGTAATTTTTTTGAATTATTCTCACGTGATCAATAAATCGTGAGCTTAATGTTTTGTAAAATATGCCATATCCATTCAAAAACTATAATCATTTTGTTTTCACATGTTGAATATTTGTCAATTTTATTTTTCTCGTCATTTAAATCTGTCCATCAGAGTGACAAACATTATTGAACAATGGAGAATACACAGGTTTTTTTCTCATTTTATTTTTTCTGTCGCATTTCATGTGTTAAAAGGTGGAGTGCTTGCCATTTAGTATTTTATTTTTAGAAAAAATAAAATTGGTTTATCAGAGATGCCAATTTCATCAAAGCAAATTCTATGTCCATTCAACATTTTACGCCTGTTTGTTATTTACAGTCTATCAAGTCAAATTTTATTTCCATTAACCAATCCGATTGCTAAGAAAATAAAACTGAATGAATTATTGAAAACTAAAGCTGCAAAATGTTCGCATAGTTACGTTAAATGCCATGATATGACCATGGTTTATAGTATACAACATATTCTGACTAATAAGCAATAATCATATGTTTCATATGTATCGGCCTGTGTTACGATAAGTGCACATAGAGAGTCTTTCTTCAATTTTATTCTGTATACGAATAGAATAGATGTGTTGTTTGAGTTGCATTTCACATTTTCCAATCCATATAATGATCGCAATGCAAAATGTTCTGAAACAAACAGAAAATATTTTGCTGATATATTATATCACGTCGCAGCAATTTTCGCCCGAATGATGCTGTATGATTATAATATGTTCACCCGATGATGATTTCATACACGCGTACACATTTACAAGACAGCATCCATTGTTGAAAATAGCGACAACTACGACAGCATAGGAATTATAATAACAAAAACACCAATAACAGCGTCCGAACCATTACACAAATGCTCTTTTTATTTCACTTCTCCATTCCGTTCACTAGTGCAAACCTGATTTAATCGTATACCGACGTACCAATGTATCACTCTACCTATCTATGCGCTATCCTATAGATGCATTGCATCCAGCTAGCTATATATGTTCTGCATTCAACTATTTGTGCTTCAAGTGTCGGTGATTGTGTAAGCGTACTGAGGATTCTGAATTCTATAAAATGCTGCTGCGTTTGTGCTCGTATTCGTTGTATTTTCGTTTTGCCTGTAAGTGAGTTTGCGTGTATTAAGAGATGTGTGTATGAGTTGTCAGATGCAGAAAGCCTGCATCGATTTACAGATGATGCGCGCATAAAATGATGGGGAAGACCAAGTTGAGAAACATTCTTCAAAAAGTGATTTTATGTGTTACGTTTATTATTGGACATGGCAGGTCGTGTCTTAAATCAATCCCTCCTCTTTCTCTTTCAATACGATGACTATGATGATGACGACGTCGCCGCTACTACCACGACGGCATTGACGGCGACGACGGCAGCACCAGCATCGGTGAAAAATCCATACATTTCATTGTGATTTATGTACATGTAAAATTTGAAATGATTCTATGTGCTTCAAATCGAATCGACTCGTCTCGAATCGAACGCAATCTAATCTATTTTGTATCCTTATAATAGTATTTTATATGCATCTACATTGTCCTCCACGGAATGTAATATCGTAAATAAAATTACGCATCTTACTTCAATTTGTCATAAATTTTCGCATTTTGCGTATCCAATATTGAAAAGTGCCGATGTTCTCGTTCTTCGTGTGCGCTAATTCATTTTCGTTGATGTCAATCCGTGGCAACATCAAATTGTTTGTTATTTCAATTTGCGGAATGAAATAATTCAAAAGAATTTAATGCTTTCCAAATGAAATGTCTGCATTTCAAAAAGACACACAGATAAGAATAGTGACAAATACTGCACAGATATCGATACGAGCAACAATTTGAAATTCGCGTGCTGTAATAAAATTCGTATATATTTTATATTTGACACATTTTTTTTATATATTCAGGCCGCATATTCACTCCATTCATTCAACGTATGTGTGTTTTTTTTTCATTCTCTGTCGGGTTATTTTGACGGCCGCATATTATCGCACCGAAATATTATTGTGCTCACGAGATGAAAGGCCGTACACAACGGCTATATGCTCAAAACGGGGACGAAAGAGAACAAGAAACACAAGCCATGAATAAAAAAAAAACGGTCATCAAAATTTATCATCAAATAATTTATATGGGAAATATGTCACAATTTATGAATTATATTTTTTTTTTTTAGACTTTTTGTTATCGTCGATGTTCCATCTGTTTTTCACTGGTCATTGCCTGTATATGCCGTTTGCATTTCTTACACATTTTCAATGGATAGTTTTTTTTTTCGGGTTCACACAATCTGAGTGAAAATTTATTACGATTTATTGACATTCACCACATTGACCAATGGATATACATTTGCAATAAGTGGGGTTTCATGCCAAAAACATTTCATTGTATTGCATACATGTATCACACACACACGCACACATCCGATTGAAGGCTACTCACCATATTGACATTATTATCCTTATGCTTAAATTTGTTTTGATAATAAAATTTAACGAATGCCGCCCAGAATTAATCAATATCGATTAAACACTGTAGAATGTGCTGAACTTCAAGCGGAGGGTGAAAGTGAATCTGTAAAAAGATGCTTCTATTATGACAATCTAATTTTGTTTAGAAAAGACCGAATTTAACATTCCTATCTCTATTTCGTTGAATATTTTTTTATTAGATATCATCATATTTGAGAATGTGATTTTGGATTTTGTTATTTTATTTTTTCGTTTCAACTTCGGGCCAAGTTGAATTATATTTAATGTGTAATATTTAAAAATTGACCTTAGAAAATCAATGACGATGATCATACTCTACAAACTGTAGCCTCTTCGTTTCACATATTCCTATTTACATAAAAAAATATGCGAAACGGTTGTTTATGCCATTTAGAATTGTAAAATGTCGTATGCTTTTGCCATTTATTACGATTCGAAATGAATTTTGTTGATATAATTGTATGATATATATTCAGGTATCATCACAAGCTGAAAATTACATGTTGTTGTGTGTTTTTTTTTGCTCTGAAGAGGGGGGGAGCTATTATTCTTACTGGAAGTAGAAAGTACATAAAGAAAAGAACAGCAATAACCATTGCCAAATTGCGAGTCACAACCATCAGTAGACACAAAAAATGAATTGTTCTGAACAGGGGGATGAAATTATTATTGTATATATTACGTGTACACGCGCATATCGACGTCATCACATGTGTAGCACTGTTTATTGGATATGCGAATGATGGTGTATGGCCTCAGATTGCATGGAATGGTATTTGCATTTGCGCTTCGAAACGATATCCAGCTTAAAATTGTGTGAACGAAACAAAGAAAGACACACAATATCGATGGTGCACGATGGTGCGTATATATATATGTATGTATATATGAATAAAATTGCTTTTTTCGTTTCTCCGCTTTAATGCTCGTTCATATCGCCTTCATTTACTTCTATAGCAATTTTATTCTTGTTGTTGTCATTTCCCGCATGATAACAGTTCCGTGTACAATACACATATACGCATACGAACCATGACAAGCGATGCGAAGATATAAAGACGATTTCATGTAATTGAGAATATTGCTTTTTTTATGAATTTTTATTGCAAATAACATATTTAAAATGTATGACAGTTGTCTTGCGTTTATTTCGATCTATTTTTGGGCTCTCTTTGTTTCTCATGCACTTAAACCATCATGCCATTCTTTAGGGATCTAAGACCATTTTGCCTTATTTCATTTCCCAAAGTGTGCGTATTTTCATATTTAGATCATTTTACCGCGTTCTATTTATTTTTTCGTATTTTTTTTTTCGTTACCGTTCCTCATTTTGGGTGTTATGCACAATATGACATTATGATAATTCTTAGGGAACAAAAAAAAATAAATAAATGAATGAATTTGTCTTTATTTTTTATGAACGTTGTGTGGTGAATGAATTCCATTTATTTGCTGTTTGATGAGATTCCATGCCAATTTTGTAACCATAAAATGAATGATATGCATTCTTGGTACCGAAAAAATAAAATAAAGCCGAACACTGAGAAAGTAAAGCGAATTTTTACGAAGCACGACCTCTCGTAAAATTACACAAAATATAATGATGTAGTTCAAAGCATTTAATATTTTATTATATTTTACTTTCCATCATTTTTTTAGGGGAAGTAATTTAACATTCAGCGCACAGAAATTGTAACACAAACAAATCTCATTTAATCTAACTTTATTTTTTAATCAAATAAATAATTATAATAATTACCTTTTGTCGGAAAATGGGATGAATTTTGATTTCTAATTAAATTTTCTTATTTTCTTTGTAGGACGATGGTGTCGAAGAGAGTGGTCATCGCCTCCAGATGCACGAAATGCAGAAGCAACGAGACGATTATATTCTTCAGTCTTCCTAGGCAGTCCGGGTAAGTTCATAATTTCATATTATTTTGATTTTTTTTTTTCGATTGCGTAAAACCTGCCCTGTCATTGACTTATGGCAAAGAATTTGGAAGGTTTTTCTTGTTTTTCCATCGAAGGAAAACAAAAAATTAATCGCTCAATTGTAATTATGATTAACTTCGATAAAAGACATTGTTTATGGCACATTTTTTTATTGGTTTGCTTTAAAACAATAAACAATATTTGCGCATTCTTGGATCAAAGAGATTTGCAATAAAGAAATACGCGGATAAATAAATATATTTTGTTTCTGTTCCATACGTAAGACCTTTGGTTTTTTTTCATTCAATTTTTGCATGAAGCTGTAGTGTGATAAATTGGAAATTTCTCACTGTGAATACATTTCTATATAATTGAGCGTTACTTTTTTTCGTATACAAATATGATCCGATGATCCTGATTTACATTGCTGCATTTGGTGGAAAGTATTATGCAGAAAATACCGAACAACTGCAACCATGTGTAAGCTTGCTATATTCCATGCACTTGGTTCTGCACATTAAAGAATCGGCAAAAAATTTGAAAAAAAAGTGTGTTTATGTCACCGTCTCTTCCAATTCGATTTTACATATTCAAATATCATGGTAGAAAAAAAGAGATTTTTCCATCTCTAATTATCAATGTCTGTTGATGAGGTTTTAAAAGTTCTCATTAGCCCCTGTTAACGGGTTCTTTTAATCACACAATGACAAAAAAAATCGCTACCTTTTGAAAATAACGAACGCAGCAAGGATAAACACACTTGTGTGCAAAAAATACATAAAAAAATAATATGTTTCGCATTCGGATCAAATAAGAAGAAGCAGCCAAATGGAGGAAAAGTTGAAAAATTAATGTTCTTCTCTTAAAATGTGAAACATAAACAATGTGATCAAACCGAAGTTCGCCAGCAACAAATACATTCAAATTAACCTCGAATAATCCGACAAACACTAAATTATGTGAACCAACGTATCGCATTTCAGTAATGCAGCGCAAAGAAATAAGACGGGAACAAAATAAGCATCGGCAAACCAATCGATAATTAAAGATAGAAATCGAAATCACCAAATATAAACGATACATGCCAAATTGGCGATTGGCAATTATGATTTTTTTATTTTCTCTCTTCCCTATTTCAATCTGGTCAAGGTAACAATCGAATTATGAGAAATCGTGCACTAAATTACCAAATGACAGTTTACAACATCTTTTCACCTAAGTAGTAAATGAGATTTTTGTTCATATTCGAATATGACCATAGCATCTAATCATACATTCATTCGGAATGTTTATATTTTACCGTGATTTCTGTCCAATTAGTATTGAAAAGAGATACTTTCTCATCTCATCAGAATTTCCAAGTTCTTAAAAACCAACTACTATTGAAATCCACAATGTACATCCATTTGAAGTCGTGTGTTTTTCATAGAAATCTTTTTGCCATATGGCACATAAGACGCCATCTGATGGTAAACAAATGAAAGCAAATGAATGCGTATATTAATTTTTTTTTTCTCTCTCGATGGCATCTGAAACGACCAGTTTCAAAGCTGATATTTTTCCATGTTAATAAGCATTGTTGGGATTCTTTTTCGATTCTTTTGATTGGTGAATGAAAACTGAATGTGCGCTTGTCGAATGGGTCTTCTTACATTTGTGCCCTATTATTCTCGCACCTTTTGTTCTTTCAACATTATTCCATTACAATGATGTATCACCGTTGATGTGAAGCAAATACAATTGTTACATACATTGTATGACATAAAATTGAGAAGATGACATATCTCATGTTATCAAGCATTATTCTAATTTTATAGAATTTCAAATGAATTTTCAGTCAAATTCCAAGTGCAATTTTGGAATTGATTTCAGCGAATTCGTATCGTAAGTGAATGTAAATAATGTGTAATCCACTAAAATGATGATCATAAAATACTTAAAATCATCGCATTAAATTGTCTATACAGCAAACTTCGATTATATACACGCGCGCTCCAGTGTTTCATGTATGAAATAGCTTCTTTTTTTTCTCCCCAACGTACATTTGTAAAAATGCGCCAAATCCCAAAATAGTGGCATGCGTGTATGTGTTTGTATTTGCGAGCGTATACACTGTGATGGTGTGTGTATAGAGTGTAGTTGACTGTTGACAAAGCATAAGGACATAAAAATAGTATGTGTGCAGTGTTCTGTATGTTTGAACGGCGTATTTTGATATATTTCCATTAATAAAATTGGCTAACAACTTGATCTTGATGCCAAAGGAGCAGACAGCAATGGCAGTTGTAAAAACCATAAACGACACAACGACCGAGCACATAAGCATGGTACGAGAAAGAGTAAGACATACTGACTACGATGACAATGAGAATCACAGAATTGCACAGAATAAAGTGCCAGCGATGATGATGATGATGACGGCTCGATGTGTGACGCGAAAAACGAAAAATTCACTGAGAAAGAAAATTCATTTACGCTGATTCATTATATATATATAAATTTTTTGGTAAATGCGAAATATACAGCAATCGCAACCATCCGTAGTGCATTGATTCGTTATTTTACCGCGCCTTAAGTCTCTCAGCTCTTGTCGTTGTGCTCGCTAAAATATTTATCCGAACGTTAGCAAACCCAGTTGCACTAAACGAAATTGAAAAGTAAAATTTTTCATTAAAATGCTTTTGTACATGCCATGAGACACACTATTTCAACTTTCCCAATTTTACGCATTCCCTCTGCTCAAGTTGGCCAAATTTTCTACGTTCTTTTGTTCCGTTCACATCCCTCTCAAATTACATGTCAAAAAAAAAGGAAAACATGCATAAAACTTATTTAATAAATGCTAAAAAAAATTATTGCTCACACATTTTATGGATGTAAGTGAGAAATGTAAGCCGAAAAATGAACATCATTAAATTATAATTCGGTTACTTGTTGAGCAAATTTAAATTAAAATAATGAGAAAAAATATACTTTCAATTTCATATTTATCAACTACCAAATAAATGATGTATTGTTTGGCATTGTTAATCTAATTAAAATGTGAAATGATCAAGTGAAACGGTAAAATACATCATCTCAAAAGAAATGAATAAAATATAAGTTTGGGAGTTGATTTGGTGAACAGAGTGAAAGAGAGAATACGTCTATACATATCAGCAAAACACAAATAGTACGTATTACGTGTATTGGATGATACAAAATCAAAAGGCACATTGTGCGCAGCGCAGTATCAATCCCCTACTCAACGTTCCATTTTCACGACAGCCAATAATTCTTCGCAAACCCATCCGAAAAGATATTCGTCAAATAAAATGGCATAAAAGTGCCAATTACAGGTTTTGCTGCAATATCCAAAACCAAAGTTGAAATACAATTCATACCAATGCCACTTGAATTCGATTTCGAATTCGTTTGATCAGCCCCAGCCAATGTTCAATTCGAAATTGAAATAGACACATTAAACTAAAATGTGCACACAACAAAATTCATAATAATGAAGAAATCTATACACGGAGTCAAAGAAATAGACCATTCAGACGGCGATAAAATGTTTTTTATGACATATACAAAAGTGCTGTATTACATTTTACACTAAGACAAGAAACATTCATCCGTCTGATGTGTGTTACTACAAAGCTGTGCCAGCAGCTCGATTTTTGTGTATTAAATTCGTCTGGATAATGTATATGGTATGCATGCGCCGTCGTTGTTGTCATCGTCATCGTCATCATCAAAACCGTATAGAATGTGGCTCGAGAGCTCGAGTTGAGCCCCATTAAAGTGGAAGAAATATAACAAAAACAAACCATTTACAAGGAATATTTATAGCTAGCGGGTGATTCGGTAACCGGGGAGTTGACATGAAACAGCGAAACAACCAGCAATTCATGCCGATGCAAAAGTGAGACAAACATATGATGCGTTGCTGATATATGGTTGCTGAACACGTACAACTCTCGTTGCTGAATTCAAACGGAACGAGAGCGCTAGTGAAAGACTTCAAAAATTCTACTCAAATGTTGTTTTAACATTTCACTCAAATCAATCGCTATGAATTTTCACTCAAAATGTTCGGTGTGCGAATGAAACAAATATATATGCGTATAGATTCAAACATGGTTGCTCTGCTCTTTACTCTCTGTCTTCGAATTTCCTATTCGATTCTCATAGAACGTTTTTTGTATCGTACATTCTGCGTGTTCGTTTTGTTTCTATGGTAACAAATACCAGTGCCGAAGTGACGGAGAACCTCCATGAAAATATAACTATGCTGGAATCATGTGTAAATTTTCATTTTTCCTATACTTGAATTCATTTATTTTCCATTTTGATTGAAATTTATTTTTCATATAGAAATGTACAAAATCTCAAACTACCAATTATAATTTAGTTTGGTTGAAACAATCCAAGATCCATTCAATCATTTTAAAATCCATTTTAGCAGTGAAAATGCGACAATCGGAATGGACTTCTCTCTCTCTATATCGAGTGAATACATTACAAAAATGTCAATAATAATGGTCTTGGAATCATCGTGTAAGATTTTTCCGGTGCCAGTCGAAATTTAAAATGGACGAGTGTCGATACATTTCTTGGAATATGTCAAATAAAAAAGTTTTGCTCGCTCATCATTCTTTGATACCCATTGACGTGTTGCCGTCTCTGTCTATCCACACTATTCAACGATTTACGATACTATTTTGATTTATTATGCTTTCTGTGTGCCTTTAAAAGAAAAGACAATATCTCTTGTGTGCGTGTCGCGCACAATACACAGCATTTACTAAGGCATGTTATTCATCTTTCTCGCATACCTTTATCCGCCCACTCATTATACAATATATAGCTCGAAGCGATTCCGAACATTCTTATGTTACGCGCGTTTATTTTTTTATTTTATTTTATTTTTTTTTGTTTATTTTCACTCCGTTTCTTTTTGTTTTGGTTCGACTTGTTTTTCTGTCTCTCGTGTAACCGA